TTATGTACTGGGCCTGTGTTAATGGGCCTAAGTTTGTTTAGTGTTTTAAGTTGTCTGGGTGTCCCATCACTAATCAGGGGCATTCCAGTCTTTTTCTGTAACATTGTACTATACTCTAATATAAATAATAGTACTGTCGACTGGGTTATTCAGTTCGACATTCTCAGCATCTCTTGGTCTTCTTTTCTCTTCTGCTACTTCGACTACAGCACTTCAACTTTCATGGTATCAGAGCATTGAGCACCTTCCTGGTTACAGCCGACGCCATCTCCTCTCTCCTGCTGTTTTTCTTCTTCTTTTTTTTCATCTTGGTTGCTGCTGTGAAACCCTASGGTTGCAGGAGAACAACACAAAGTTCGAACCTAGGGTTTCCCTTGGTTATAGGGCGCAAGGGAAGTAAGACCCAGAAGCTGATGTCCTATTAGACTGTTTCTAGTAGTTAGCAGCTATTCAACTGCTAAGAGAGGTCTGTATAGGACAGACCTAGTTGAGGACTGATTTCAGCAGTCCTAGTATTGGCYGTAAGGAGGGGCACTCTCTTTACAGTTGCAGTACTCGAAGTTCAAGTGGAGTCTGCATAGCACAATAGTGGAGAGCCCTTAGTTCCAGGTCGGTTACCAGCCCAGAACTCCTCACTTGCTGCTGTAACTGAATGCTTCAGAACTGTGACAGTCTTGGCAAGTCTGAAACTGTGTTGAGAACTGTCAGAACCTGCTGTGATCACTTCGGCTAATCAGAACCTGCTCCAGAACTGCTTCGGCTAGTCTTAATCAGTGTCATCTACACAGAGGCTGCAGTCAAGATGTCTTCAATATCCGGAGAGGTTTCTTCTAGGGATAACAGACCTGCGGCAAGGCCTTCAAATTTGGAAAACCCTAATCTGCACAGCTTGCAGATTACAAGTGTGCTGCTGGATGAATACAACTTCAGGGAGTGGTCAGTTTCCGCAATGTTGTTTATTACTTCCCGTGATCTCACAGGCTACCTAGATGGGAGCAAGAAATAACCTGAAGTTGGCAGTACAGAGTATGCTGTGTGGCACAAGGAGAATGCCACAGTTATGTCCTGGTTGCTTGCCTCTATGACTCCTCGAGTTGCCAGGACTGTTCATCACTTTCCTACAGCAGTCAAGATTTGGGAAAAAGTGTCTAAGACCTATGGACAGAAGAAAAACAATGCTAGAATCTACAGATTGAATCAAGACATTGCTACCTTAAGGCAAGGTGATATGACAGTTGCCACATACTTTGCAACTCTAGAAGGTCTTTGGGAAGAACTTGACCATCACTTGATATTAGATTGGGAAAATGCCAGGGACAAGGAGAGACATGATAAGCAGATTGAAGAGAGCAGAGCCTTCAAGTTCTTGGCTGGTCTGGACCCAGTGTATGAGGGTATAAGGTCACAAATTHTGGGGAGAGATGAATTGCCCGAGTTACACCATGTTTATTATCTGGTGAGGAATGAAGAAGTCAGGAGAAAGGAGATGCAAGTTGACTCCCAGACTCAACCAACTGAACAATTTGGAGAACATTCAGCCCTGGTTTCTACTAAGGGAAACAGACATCCAGACAAGAAGCACCTCAAGTGTACTCATTGTGGTGGTGAGAGACATGTAAAAGAAAAGTATTGGGTCCTGTACCCTCACCTGAAGCCAGTTGCATTAAGAAAGGACAAGAAACAACAGAAGGGTCATGCGGAAAGTGGGAATCTTGTCACCAGCAACAATGGTGACAACTCACAGAATATACCAACAGTGCCTTCTTCTCCTATGGGACAGGTTGCTGATTCCTCTGGAACTGGTGCTTTGGGCTTCACTGCTAGTGAGGTAGAGGTCCTTAGCAGGGCATTAGCC